CCAGGAGCGAGGCGGAAAACCAATCAGGAGCGCGGGGGCAAGACGGACACGGCCCGGAGGAGCCGGGATAGGACGAGGGGAAGGAAGGCGGTTTCTGATTGGGTGGTTTGGCGGCTCGTGAGGGCAGAGGGGGGGTGTCGCTCTGGTGACAGGCGATGCGAGCGCCTCTGCCCGCCATTGCCCTCAGCGGGGAGAGGGCAGCGCGGCTCTTGGGGAGCTGCTGTCCGGTGGGCTGGGGCTGAGGCTGAGGGGGATCCTCCTGTCCCCGAGAGCTCCTGCGGAGTCTCCTCACGGCTGGGCATGGCGCCCGAGCCGCCCTTCAGCCATCCACCCCTCAACCATCCGTCCCTCTTGGGCCTGTGGGGCCGCTCGGGGGCAGGGCACTGCCGGTGACATAAAATGGCGGCGGGAGGGTTGGTGAGGGTGAGGCGTTCCTCGCGTCCAGCAGCATTGAGGAAAGAATCGCAGCTGTGCCACGCCTGTTAACCCACTGCAGGAGCCGAGCCGTGCGTTTACTCCCTAGTGTTGTGGCAAGGCTCAACACAGCTTCTCAGGCAGGGTTCCAGCCTGCAGTGCTGTGCCAGAGAGAGCCCCCCTAACCCAGCCAGGCACGTGTTCTTGAGCACCTACGACTGTTGATTCGCCTAAACTTCATTTAAACTCCAATCCTGTTAACATGGTTGTGCTTCTGAAACAGAGAATGAGCCTTGGCTGGAAATGCTGCAGAATCTGCCACTTGGCCTTTAAACAGAAGCTCTTTGGATCATGCTGTTCTTCCCATTTTGTCTTGTATTGTTTCAGTTGTTGAAGCTGCCACAGTAATTTCCCTCCCTGATATACATGGATATGCTTTGGTACAACCTCCTTATGCTTTGTCCAACCCAAAGAGGGTAATGGAGGGACGTGTTAAGTCCTGTCTGAATTCTGTGACTATGTAGGAGATGTGTTACTGTCTCCAGAGCCCTTTGCCAAGGGATAACAGAGTGTCCCTTGTATATCCCTTTCCCTCTCTTTGTTCTCAGCCCTGCATTAGCTGGTGGTGACCAGGGTTGGGTGTTTTTAGCTTGCCAGTGCGCAGTGTAGTCCTGGACAACATCTGTGTGTGTAAATGCTGGCATGTTGTCTCAGTTGCATGTTCCAGAGGTAAGAGAGATTTGTTCTTCAAACTGACAAGAAAGGAGATGTTTTGGATTCAGCTTGTAGCTCTCCTGGCATTTGATTGCTATCATATGTGGGATTTTCACCCACCCATTTTTAGACATGAGTGATTATCAAGGCCATAACATCCTTTTGATCGGCAGTCCCCCAGAAGCAAAAGGAAACAGGCGGTTTCAGATACTCTGCTGTGTATCTCAGAGTGACAAGTCATTATGAAAACCAACCCTTAACAACTGTTTTTGCATTCTGTTGCTTTCATTTATATCTAAGTGAAGGAGACAGAGCTGGAATTATAAGTATAACTTAACTATTTTAATAAATCTTATACAGTGCATGGTTATATCATTTTATCCTTCGTTCAATTACATTAATGTACAGTGCAATATAGCATTATCTGCAGGCAATACAAATATAACAGATGCACAGCTCAGTCATATGGAAATTTTTAAAAGTGACTTCTGCAATAAGGTCTACTGATATATTTATTTTACGAAATGCTCCTGTGGTTCCTGGTTTTACAGAACTGTTTTGTACTCTTCTATTATAATCCCAAGTAACTATAATTCTGTGTGATTTGTTTTCCTTTATACCCAAAGACAAGAATGGTGTTGTGTTTCCTAGCTCACCATTTGTTTGATTTTCATTTTAGAAATTATTTAGCTTCCTGGAATTCTAACACCAGTGGTTTGCCAGTGTTCACACCTGCTTCCCATCTCCACCCTAATCCAGGGCTTCTCTGGAGGATTGTCCTCTTCATCCCTCCCTGACAAGGTGAGTGCACTTTGCAAATTCCAGCCACTGTGGCGAGCCAGCAGGGTTGTGACTAAAACCATGATCCTCCCCTCTAAATTCTCTGCCTGTACCCTAATTCTGCTGTTGCTAACAATGCCCTATTTGAAGATTATGAAAATATATCATCCATTAAAAACATTTTTGTAAGAACAAAGCCAAAATTGAGAGGTGCATCAGTATTCTCAGATTTAGACGCGTTCCCCAGGCACTGCTTTACAGCTGTACAGCTTTTTCCATTAAATGTGAGAGGACAGGCCCAAACTGTGCAAAGACTTAGGCATTTGCTTAACCTTTAAAGGAGGTGGGACCATTCACAGCATGTAAAGGAAAGCACCTGTGTAAGTCTTTGTGGAATCTGGGCCTGAGTTCCCATTCAGCCAAGGTTAAAGTGTGTGAATGAGAGGGAAAGACAGTGTTCCTGGTCTGTGAGCAGTTCCTGTAGATGTGTTTGCTGTACTGCATTCCTGTCAAGTTGGTCTGGAAGTAAAATATAGATATAACTCCAGCATGTGCTAAACTTGCTGTGGACAGGAAATCTACTATATGATTGCTTGTGCTTTTAAAACTTTGAGTAAATTATTGATGCATAATCACTTAATTATGTTTCTAGAGAAAGGGATTTTTTCCTCATCCCTATTTGTAGATTGTAAGAATGTATTTCACTAGATAGATATATACATACGCACATAACATGAAGAAAAACAGGAAGTAGCCTCTACTAAATTAGATTATTATCTTTTTTTCTTGTGGCCATTTGCATTAAAACTGCCTTTCCCAGTGTGCTTTTGTTTCTTAGATATTTAGGAAGCATTTCAGATTACTCTTTGCAATGAAAACATGAAGGTGGGGACAAGCAGCGAATGCCCTGGGAAGGGCTTTGGGAGTGACTGGGCTGGGAGCAAATGGTAGGGGCTTATCATCTCCTTGTTTGAGGCCTGGCTTTGGCAATACTGCAACTTTCTGACACAGGATCAGTGACAAGGTGAAGGGCTGCACAGCTGCCCTGAGCCCCAGCCTCTGCATAAGCAGGGATGATCAGGCTGAACTCACCTCTCTGCAGGTTCAAATCACTTCAGTTGTCACTCAATTCTAGCCTCGTCCACTGAGGGAGGACAGGACAGAAGGAGGACATTGAATTGTCACAGGGCCTTTGCTAGTGGGCTGCAGGGGATATTTGCCACAGAGAGGGAAATGAAAAGCAGGGGGAAAGAGTTATTTCTGTGATCCAGACTCTAAACATTCAGGCTGGCTTGTTCTGTGCTGCGTGCCACGCTCTCGCTGCCTGAGCCGTGCTGGCAAGGGGCATGGGAGCAGGTACAGCCCTACCAGAAAAGCTTTGTGGGGTCTTTTTTGCTTGAATCCAGCCATTGTCGTACATTTAGACATGTGAATTCTGATCTGCTCTGATCGCATGCACGTAAAATTTCAGTATAAAATATATAGATATAAAAAAAAATACTTCATGCAATATTAAAACACCTTTCCCAATGTGACATGTGGTCTTATTGTCTACCCTTATCAACAGTGTTCAAGAAATTGTCACTTTGATGGCAATTACACCGCCAGGTGTGGAGCACTGCTGTCTCTGGACTGGGGATCATTGCTTTCACTCCCTTTTCCTGCACTACTATGACTAATAGCTGAAATAAAATAGATAGATTTTAATTAGCAGAATCAATCCTTTCCTGGCGACGCTTCATGATTTCTTGGAGCTCTGACTCCCCTCTGCTTTTCTAGAAGGGAAACAAAAGAGGAAGTTTGAATTTAAAGTTCAAGATGTAGTTAAATTATAATATTTAACTAATTCTGTATGAGTAGAGCTAGTTTGAAAGGGCTAAGTGATACAGGTAAGAAGGCAGATTCATTAAGGGAGACAGGGTGATCTGCCTTACAGATCTGGGGTTTTTACCTTAAAAGAATAATTAGCATTTTTAGGTGGTGTGGTTTTTTGGTTGTGTGGGCTTTGATTAGGTTTTTTTAAAATTGTGTTTCTTAAAATGTCTGTTTTATGGGATGTCTGACACTGCTGGTACAGGCACCCGTTCAGGCAGCAGTTGTCCAGAAAGCCACTTACCTCCAGTTGGTTTTTCTCCACTGTGATTTTACTGTATACTCTGTTTCCCTCATCACCACATACTTTCTTTAGCTCCTCTCTGTTGAGGGAGAAGAGCTGAGCTCCGGTAAGGATGCCAAGGTGTTCCACTGTCCTGGAAAGACACAAAGTGAGGAGATGATAATTGTGCTACATGTGGCCTCTTGCTAAAGGTGAGGAGTCAGAGGTAAAGGGACGAGGAGCAGCTGAGGTGCAGCTCCTGCACCAGGAGCACAAGGCCTGGAGCTGTGCCAGGGTGGCAACTGTTGGGTAACCAGCGTCACCCTGGCATCTACTGTGTCCCCAGCCCCGCAGTACTGCAGTGATTTCACTCCGGTTGCACCACATTTGGGAGCAGTCCTGGAGCTCCTCTTAGCTCGCTGTGCAGAGTGTGAGTTGTAATGCGTAATCTTTGATTATGTGAAGCTTTTTGGTCCTTCCTGGTGGCTGGGAAGATTTTCTAGCCCCAGCTGAGGGTCTGCCTCTTCCTCAGAGGCAGGCAGTCATCTGGAATTCACATTTCAGGCCACGGGTTTAGTTAGTTAATTAGTTATTTTTCTCTATGTTCAGCACTCTGAACTGGCTAACTGGGGTCAGACAAGCACCAGTGGTAGGACGTTGTGCAGCGTTTGGCCATGAGGTGTGTGAATAAGCAAGACCATTCCTTTATTTGCAGTTACTCATTAGGTCTTTTGCTGCACTGTAAGACAAGGTTTATGTGATAGTGTATAAGAAAGGGAATGATCTTAGGCTCTGAACGTACTGGTTATATAATCTGGATTTAATATGATTGAAATTTAATTTGCAACACAGGCTCTGTATGTAAATACCAGTGACTTGTAATCCAGCTGAAATGTTGCAAGCTGCCTCCCCCAGTCCTTTTTAAACCAAGGACCAGCATTTCGTAATAGTAGTAAAGCAGATCTTACTCTTTGCTGAATGACTTTGCCTCCAGCCAAGCTTTGACTTCTTCAGTGCTGGATTCGAAGGTGAGGGGCACAAAAACTTGCTGAGGCTTTTCCACTTTGAAATTCCTCTGGGGAGGCTGAATTTTATTGTTTGTGATCTTCTTTAGCAACTCATCGTTCAGCTCATCCATTTGATGAATAAGTTCTGGGAAAACAAGGCACAAGGTAGAGAGTAGGTAATGAAATCAAGTCTTCACTCACAAATCCTATTAAATTAATGTATTTGCAGGGAAAATGTAAGGAAGATCAAAATGTGGCTTTACATTTTTATGAACTCTGTAAATACACCAAAGGAAAGTGCTTACTTTTGTATTTTAGTTTTCAAGAACAAGTTTAAGTGCTTTGTTAGAACAGTAGATTGAGCAATGACTTTTTGACCTTCAAACTTCCATCAGGAGAATGTGCAAAGGGAGACTGCCACAGTTTTAGAGGCTGGCAGACTGCTGGAGCAGGCTGTGGGAATCTCCCCTTTCCTCCCAAGCCAACAGTCTCAACTTCCCTCAGCTTTTGAAACCTCACTTGCTCTTTGGAGAAATCCAGATTTCTGTAGCTCTTTTCCAGAATGATGGAGAGAAGGAATCGCAAAATAACAGCCAAGTGCTGGTTGTCCATATAGTGATCACTGAATCTAAAAAGCCGCTCAAGGGTTTCTTGCAGTGTGACTGCCCCAGGACAAGGGCACGGTTTGGTGGCTTGGTACAAGCACTGCATGCCTGAGATTTTGGCCTCATTGCTTCAGCAGTGTTCATTAAGCTAATTAGAGTCTTGGAACAACTACTGCTCTTCCTGGAAGAAAGGAAATCTCTGGTTCTGGTGTTGGCTAGCATTGATATAGCTGTATAATTTCTAGCAAAAAGTGCATTCTCTGTCATGGTATATACCAGCAGACTCTGACTGGTCTCATTCAACAAGCGTGTATCCCCCAGTCTGTGTTTAACTGAGTATATGTGGTGTGAAAATGGAGAGCTCACACCTGCAGAGGCACTTGCTTTTAGTCAACAGGAACAAAACTACCCATCAATCTGCCTGGGAAATTCTCGTTCAGAATCACTTCTTGGGGGGGAAAGTGTCTTATTTGGCAAAATAGTAGGAAAACATTTTGATAAGAACACATTCATTTTGTGTGACTCGTGTATGTAGCAGGTGGTGGTAAGGACCTATATTTTCACCTATTTTATATACAAATTTATATTGGGATTTATATTGGGATTTATCTTGTTTCTTGTGTTGCTGACCTATTCTGTTCATCACACCTCATTCAAAGGACATAAAACCCTGCAACACCAACTAGCACAAGTTGGCTCAAGGGTCTAAAACATGATCTGGCAGTGTCTGCTCCCACTGGTGCTGTCAAGTGGTGATAAGGGACAGGGTCCCTTTTCCCTCATGTCTGGTGTTGCTGTTGTGATTTTGCTTTAGTTTGTCATCTTCCTGTTTTTGAGTTACTTAGTTCCCTTCAGGCTATTGAAATAAGGAAATTGCCCTGCAAACTTAGCAGCAGGGAGGGGAAAAAACCCAGACCACATGAGACAGTAGAGGTCAGGGAGGCCTGACTATCTGTTTCTGAAAACGAGGTTCCCATTTTTCTGCACCCCTGTGTTGCCATTTATTTTCCTCCCATTGCCCCTTCGCTGTTGCCTGATATGGAAGGACAGTTCTGTGAGTACCTACAATTAGCATCTTGGTTTTGAGCTGTAGCCCTGCTCCCTCTGCTTTTCAGTCCTCTATGCTACTTCCAATAAGTAATTTGCTGATCCAGGTCCACAGAGCTTCAGCTTTTGCTGTGCAGCTACATAGAAGTGGCAGGAAGCAGGAACTGGAGTGAGCAGCACACTCATAAAACTCCAGTGACACATCATCTAATACCACTTTTTCCATGAAACTCCTAAAAACTGTAGAGAGTATCTCAGTGTTATTAACAGATACATGTCTGTGATGCTCATATTATGGGACTTTCTGTCATCCCAAAACGGCTTCTGCTTCCATGAGTCCATGGTAGCTGAACAGGGGGTGAACCCCAGTTGTGACCTTGGGGAGACAACTTGCTACAGGTGTCCATGGGATGTGATAAGGGGGTGAGGTGAGCAGGGCTCCTGGTCTGTCTCATGCTCTCTGACCCCACGTAGCATGTGCGAGTGATGTGAGTCTCCTATCTGGCTGATCTGCTGGCTGGGATTTCTCTGAAATCACAGGAAGGAATGGGCCAGGTGGGAGCTGCGTGTGTGGCAGGAGACAAGAGCAAAGGAGGTGAAAGGGATTGACCTGAATGTCTGTGGTTGCTTAGACATGCTTAAACGTTTTGGTGGGGAAAGGAAACTCTCCTTGGGAGGAGGAGGAAGATCAAGCTGGAAGGAGGGTTACAGTGATCTTTTTTGCCCTGCTTGTCCCAGGCTGCCTGAGATGCGAGTCAGTGAAGCTCCTCAGGGCCACTCTGTTGGCTGTTGTACTAACTACCTGGAGTCTCCTCTCTACATCTCCTCCAAAACCACTGCTGGTCTGTTGCTTTTCACTAAAAGGTGCGGTCACTGCTTGTGCAGAGCCTTGTGGGAGGGGGACACACTTGGGTAAGTCTGGTTACATGCACACAGCAACCAAAACCATCGGACAGACCGTTATGGTGAATGTGAAGAAAGAAGGAAATCCACCGGGACAGAGAGCGAGCAAAAGCATGTGCTCACAGAAACTTTTCAGTTAAGTCTGGCAATGCAAAGCCATGGTGCCATACTCCCTGGCTGCCTGAGGCTGCTCTGTGTGGGGTAAAAGGTGCCTGGATGCTGGCAGCACGGTGTGGGACACATACGTTCTTTGGCGTCCTGGGGAGAGTTGCGTGATAACATTTCACTTCCCCATTTATCCCCAGCGTAGCTGGCGGGTAGCTTGTGAGTTGGGCTGGATGGTCCATATCCCCTGGGGCTCAGGTCTCCTTTGTACCTCTGGTTAGACTGGGTGATAAGAAAGAAAAATGGTGTCAGAATTTTTTTTGCCATTTTTAATTTTCTTCAATTTGTTGCTACCCACCCACAATAGCAAATTGAGGGACAGATTGCCATGTGCTGATCTGGGGCCACTCAGCTGAGGCTGATGAGAACTCAGGTGGAGCTGCATAAAATAAGTTAATTTCTGGGGTTGCATGGGAACAAACATAACACAAACCAAAGGCTGAAGACTGAGTGAAGGCATTTACATCCCTGGAAAACATGTCACACTCACCACGTGGAGAGGCGTGGTGTTTTTTCCTTGCTCACTACTGCTGTGTATGACTGCTCTCACTTGAGTGACTTGGCCCTTTAGGCTTTGCTATGCAGAAATTACTGCTCATAGGGCTTCCTTGGAGATGGAGAGCAATGGAGGCAAAAGGATTTTTATACGAAGAGAAAACAAAATGAAATCCCATTTGAAGCTAAAGTATCACTGCTCTAGTAACTGGATGTTAAGTGGGACCACTGCCAGCACCCATAGCAGTCTGGAAAGAGCTTTTTGACATTTTCTTGATTAAACTAACAGGGCCTTTGTTCAGAGGCCTGCTGGGGAACTGTGAAATACCAAAGTGGGGATACAATTCTGTGCTTCCTTAAGGCATCTCGAGCTCTCCAGCTTTACATGTTCGCAATGCAAGGTGCTTGAGAGCCATATTCAGTTAAAACTCGCTTAGATGGTATTTCCATCTGCCTCCACTCCAGTAACTTGTTCCTGCTGCTGAACTGAACTGGATGTGGGAACTGTCTGGCTTTAATTTATCCTCCAACAAAAAAAAATCTCAGCATTTTTGTGGCAAAATTTGCTTTTATGGCTGCATTAGCTCTCTCATCCTGTTCACATCACAGCCCCAAAAGCAGCAGGGTTTTGCAATAGATGAGGTGGTAAACTACAGGCTGAGAAGTACACAGGTTTTGGGGGCAAGGCCCTGGCAAAAGGTGGTTTTTTCAAGCCACTATGGCCAGCAGCTGTTTGGTGACACCTCAACACAAGACCTTTTCTGTTGGGATGACAAGTCATGGTGCTAGGCTCCAGGTGCACGTCCCTTTGTGCTAGGGTGTCACTTTGTAGCAGGCTGCTGCCAATAGCACAGGACTTGGCCTTCACCCAAAACAGTAATCTCACCTGCCAGGGACGACTGGCAGCAGACAGTGTGCTTGGCATCTTGGAGTGGGAGGATAGCGTGAGGCTGCCACATGGATGGGAAGGACGGGCCTTGTCTGGGGAGGGGGAAGGTAATGGTGGCAAAACGTGAGTGTTATCATAGGAGACTCAGGAACCTCCAGGATCCTGGTTCATCTACTTGTGAGGGTTCATCCCAACTTGTGCACAGCATCCTAAGGAATCCAGGGAGGTCTAATTACAAGATCTTAGAGGCTGATTATGCCCTGCAGCTGGCTATCAGTTAAATATCACCTGACTACAGACCTGTTCGAGCTCTTCCAGTTTCACCACATCCAGGATATTATAAGGGACATAGCCAGCCTGCCCACTCCGGTTGAGCAACTTCCACCACTGCTTATTATCTTCCAACACCTGAAAAAGGGAGAAAAATTAATTTGCTAGCAAGAACATCACATTTCTGGCATACATAAATGGCAAATAGTGGAAATAAGGCACACAGTAACGTGAAGTTGTCAGAATAACATCATTGAGGGCAGGTGCTGGCATACAGACCTGTTGCACTCATTTGCAATTCAGGACTGAAGCCTTTCCTGCAAAGCTGAAAGAACTTATCCTAATGATGAGCAGGAGAGCATCTCTGGGGGAAATCAGATCTGGGGTGCTGAAGAACTCATAGTTTCCACTTAATTTGCCTGGTTTTCCATCCTTTTTTTTTTTTTTTTCTTTTCCCAGTGACTGAGTTTGTGTTGTCTTTTTGTATTTAAAAATAAAAATAAAAATCAAGAGTGACTCCTGCCAAAGATGCTGGAGTGTTGTTATATAACTTGAATCACATGTCACATCATATGACCTAATCACATCATAACCATGATGAAGCAAGGAGATTGCCCATTGCTGAGATATCTCCTAGTGCTCAATCCCCTTGCTCCTTCCAGCAGGTTTGTTTTGACCCACAGCTGTGATTTTTAAAATATTTCTTTTAAGTAATCTTCCCAGAGTGGATGAGTTTTGCTGGCAAGACCCACACATATTTCTCATTCTAGCTATATTTTTAAACAGAAGTCTTTTTCTCAAGTCAGAGATCTGTTACAGTTGTGTGTAGATTGAGACATGTCCTGCATTCTCCAGCTGCCAACAGTGTTGTGACAAGAGAAAGGTTATGAAAAAGGATGTTTTCAGTGAAAATAATTCCTTGGAGAGGGGGGAGTGGTAACAATGAACATAGATAGGCCCAGCAAGGGTATGAACAGTGTACTACAGTGACTTGGTTTTCTTCCTCCTCATTGCTAATTAAGATGTGACTGATGTGTTTCAGCTGAGCAGGAGACCCAGTGCATACAGTCAGCCTGCTCCAGCTCAGGCATAAAGCTTTAGATTTGAACAAAGCTTCACATTACTGCTCAGAAAACACCAAGCAAAAATGAGCTGGCACTTGCCAGTATGTCAGGATCTCTGTCCCATTCCTGGAAAGGGGAGAAGGGTGCAGCTGTTCCCCCAGCATGTTCACTTACCTCCAGGATTTCATCCTTAAGCACTGAGAGTTCATTGGCATTTCGTGCGGTGAAATCATAGCGGATTTTGGCATATCTCTTGGGCAGAGCCATTCCCTGTGCCTCAAAATTCCTGCAGGATTAAAAAAAAATGCAATTTTACTGGAGGCCCATCTAATAACTGGGCAATATAGGTTCACTGGTAAAAGAGGAGTAGTGAGGGTTGTACGCCAGTGCAGGTAGAGAGACAAGTGTCTTTGTGTTAGAGGAGCAAAGAGGCACTGCCCCCTCCTGTTTTGAGGAAGATTTTTCACCCCTCATTTTAGTGAAACACCCTGTATTTAGGAAAACAAAAAGAGAAGGAAAAAAAAAAAAAAAAAAGCTGTACAGCTGTTTGGTTAGTGGCTTTTTTGGGGACTGTGAGGCGGCTGCTTTCAGGGTGGAAGAAAAGACTTCCCCTGTCACTTGTTTCTTTGCTGCAGCAAGGGCTGGGGAGACTGATAGAGAACAAACAAAATGCTCTGATTGCACCTCCTGTGAAAAATAAGTGTGAAACCCTCATGTCCTGATAAGTGGAAACAATTGCCCTATTTGCTAGAGTAGGGGAGAAGTAGGTAGCAGTGCTGGGAGAAGGGGAAGTGAAAAGGAGTGTCCCCAGAACTGACTGGAAATCTGTGGTTTTTTCATCAGGTAATGAATGCTGAGCTACCAAAACAGAATTCTGCGAGTTCCCAGGAAAAGTGAGTTTGAGTGTTTCTATTTTGAGATACATTTTCTGGGAAAAGGAATGTGTTTAAGTTTTTCTGACGCAAGAATATATGGTTTTCAATGTTGAACTGACTTTTCATTTGAAGAGGGAGACAAAATAAATACAGTAAGCTGTCAAAAATGAAAAATGGTGGGAAAAGTGCGATGAAAGATTTCCTTTGACCCAAACGGAAATAGTTTATTTTTCATAGTTTGTTTTTTCTTTGATTGGTTAAAGGTAGATCTCATATTTTTCTTCTCTGGTTAGGATGGGCTGTAGTGTTCTCTTTTAATTCCAAAAATGTTTGCGGTATGGAAAAACTGTCTTGCCTTGTTGTGTAAGGGCGGGTAGGAACTATTTTAATGCACCTCCTGTGGATATGTCTGCTTATGCCTTACAACCTGCACAGCCACCTGCAGCAGAGCACTCCCGTGTGCTGTATTCACAGTGGGCATGCCAGCAGTGGAACAGTTTCTCCTCCAGTTCATGTCAAGTTCTGGTAACTTGGTGAAGCTTCTGCTTCCAGCAGTACGATGAATTCTGTTTTTTAACCTCATGTTTTCTATTGCTAAGTTCTTTGTTTTGGTCAGTGGTTTTACACCAATGATCTGTGGAAATTCGTCTCTTTGTGGACTGCTTCTGAGGCATCTGTAAAATCTGAGTTTGAAAAACAAGCCCATTATACTTAGTTTTAGTTCATTTTACTGTCTGCATTAGATAGTTTTTGGTGGTGTGAAAAAGGCTGAACCCACTGGTTCAGTGGTTTGATAATCATGCTTATGGCTATAGTGTTGTCTTTAGTTCACTTGATTTGGGATAACTTAGTCTAGTTACAGCCACGTGCAATATGTGAGTTGTAAATCTGTAGTGGGGGAGAGATTGGAGCAGACTGATGGAATCCACCAGTCAGGAAAGGGAGTGGTGGCCTTCCCCAGCAGTGCCCCGAGGGCAGGGAGGGGGAGAAAAGCCCTAGTTATGTAGAAATGACTTCTTTTGTAGCATTCCAGAAGGTAAATGAGTCATGAGGAAAGAGATGAAGGCTGGAGGAGTTTGAGGCTAATGTGTACTTTACTTGCACACAGATTTTACACAAGGGACCTTTGTTAATTTTTGTAATATTGCTCGGAGCTTTCATGACACTTCCCTGCAGCTAAAAGCCCTGGTGTAAATAACAGTACTGCTGCATGGGTATTTTTGTTAATATAGGGTCTCTTGGTTAGAAAACTAGTTCAAACTACTCTGAAAAAAAATATGAGTATAGTAGGAAATAGGTCTGTCCCAGGGCTTTGATCTTGGCAAGCATCAGGGCAGCCTCTGCTGAAGTCTACTCTGGACTGAAGAAAGCATCTAAGCACATTCTCAGTTTTAGCATATGCTTCAGTGCTGTTAACTTTGTTTTTTTCGTAAATGTTATCCATAAGGAAAACTTGCTGTTGAGAGTCTGAAAGGTACGTAAAAATGTGTACAGCACCTATCCCAGGAGAAGAGACATCCTCGTCTGTGCTCATACTGTAGTTGGATCTGGGTGGTGTCTCAGGGAAATGGTCACCCTGGTAAAAAGGTGCCCCATTAATTTGTGTTCCAAGACTTGATACTACCATTGATACTACCATTTATAGTTTGTCTGTGCTGAGACTAGCAGATGAAAATGTTTCCTTACATGTATTATTTACCAGTCACTAAAGATGGACTTGAATATTCTCATGTAAACTAAGTTCTCCTTATTTTTGATAACCTTACTGAGAAAAAATGGAATTGGAGAAGTGAATTTGTTACTGTAACTTTTTCCCTACTCAACACTTTATCTGTACCATTTCATGGTCCCATCAGGACCCTGGGGGGGCAATGGAAAGAGTAAGTTATTTTGCTGATGTAACGGGATTTAAGGTCTTTTGCTGTGAATTTGAACTTTTTTGTAGTAATAGAACTATGAATCTTTTAGATTAGAACATGAAACCATGAAAAAAGTCTGTCTTGAAGGATTTTCCCAGTTGAGAGCTACCTACATAAAAGTGCATGGTTAAGTGCTTTGCTGGGTCTGGACTTCCAGCCTTTAAAGATCTGAAGTTGATAACTTCATGTCAAATCGATGCAAAGCAGAGTATGGCAGAGAATTATTTTGCAATTTGGGAAGAGTTTGTTGACACTCTCAGATCTTGGGAAAATTTCAAAGGCGTAAGCTCATGTAAACAAGCAAGCAGATGAAAAGTCTCTAAACTTATACCACTGCATAACTACTGATGGAAAACTAGCAGTGAGACAGAATGTCGGGTTAAATTGTGAAAGAGCCATCTTGGAAAAAAGCTTGAGGCAAAAGGGTGGCCCGGCTGGTGCTACGTTGGGAACTGAACTTTCCAAGACTTCTGAGGAAAGGGGAGGTTTTTTCCCCCATTTTCTGGATTTATTTCATTAAGAAGCATTGTCCAAAATATACGCCATATCAGTTTTCCTGATGGAGAGATGGGCAAGACTGGAAATACTCTCATTTTATTCAGCCTCTAATAAATGCTTTTCCCTTTTGTTGTGTCTAAAGCAAAAGGAGGAGCTGCTGTGAAACAAGTGGCACAGCCTCAGTTGAAAAGTTTTAGGTGCAGTGCTGAGGTCAGGCTGCTCTTTCCCAGCACTGTGTTTTTCAAGTGGAAAGCTTGTGTGTACTCATGCCTTAGTACAGATTCCTCCCATAAGCAGGTTCTTTCTGTGCAAGCTGTTGTGGCTTTAGGATGAATGGAGAAATAGTAGCTTCTCTAAACGTATGGAGTACAGAAGCACAGCATGGTATCTTTGGCATGTGATCCTTAATATTGCTTTGGTGGGCTGATTTTATGAAACAAGACCTACTCATTGACTAATGAAGTCAGTCAATGTTTTTGCCTCTTGTGATGGAAAACACATGTAACCATTTCCTTGTAGACCTGCTGGTGATTAAAAAGCAGACAGTGTTTACATGAATAATCCCTCGTCTGATCTTTGAGTTCTCTTGATCTTGTTAACAACTCTGAATTAATAATGGCAGAGAGTTATCTACCAGCATGCCAAAACATGCTGGGCTCATGGTATGTTGCAGGGGGGGGCTTCATGAGGTTACAAGGTGGGAGCCAAGTGCTGTTGTTGGGGTGGTGCTGATACGTTACCTATTTACATGCTGAGTTACGTTCTGTTTAAAGGCATCCACAGCTTGTGTCTGATCAGCTGTCTGGCCGCGCTTGAGTGAGGAGTTACGGTAAGGATATCCATTGGCTGATGATAGCTGGAAAGGCAAAAATGGAGTCAGCGTTACCAGGAAAGAGAAAAGCAGTATCCGAGAAAAGGAGAGTGAGTGGCAGATGAATCATGATCTGGAAGATTTTGATCATGATGAGGTGCACCCTGAAGAAATGGTCTTCAGGCAAACCTGTATCTGTGGGACTCAGTTATGGTATAGTATCCTATTCCCTGTTAATAGGAGATGAGGCTGATTATTGCTCCCTTTTCTGGCCTTAGTTTCTTTCTATATTTGACTGGAGTGACCAGATCTAACTGAATTTTTTGCTGACTACTTGTTACACACTGCTGCAAGCTCCATAGATCCATCATCTCTCTAAAAAAGGGGGAGGGAGGGGAAAAGAAAAGAGGATGACCGGGGTCAAACACTAACCTCTTCTTGCAAGTGTCCGATGTCTATTTCCCAGGGAGCTCCGCGGAAGATTTCCACGGGTGGTTCCCAGCCATTGCGGAATTTGGGGATGTAGGTAGGGATGTTTGCTTCTCGGGGCCATTCAGCTCTAGGGCATGAAGTGGGGAATATGTGGTGAGATTCACAAGGTACATGTCTCTGGAAGCACATCAGGGAGAAGCAGAGGCATCCTTGATCCTCTGACACTGCTATAAAATCAAGCGATCCCTTTGCCTTTCTCGAGAGCTTGGGGAATCTGGTAAGATGGCAGCTCTGGCCTCACCTGGATCTGGTCCATGTCTCTCCCAGGGAGTCCCAGAGGTTTATCTCTTTTGGTGTCAGGTGTCCTCGGAGGAAATCTGTGGCATCTTTAGAAAGAAGCGGGCTGACGACAGACCTGGCAAGCTCAGGGCCACCACAGCTACTGATGATCTGGATTAAATGCGAACACAAGTGTAAGAAATTTTGTAGGAAACATTCAAAATTATTAAACCAGCACAAGCCCAAAGGAACAGAAATCAAAGACAGAAAAATTGGTGGCTCTGATCCTTCGGAGTCTTTGTGCCTGCCCACTCCAGAGGAAGGAAGCCGATGTACCCTCCATGGTGGGTACCTCTAAAAACCAGGCCAATTCATATTAGACCTGCGCTTCCAAAGTTCTCCTCTATGCCTTCACATGCAAGGGTGAGGTTTCACAATGCAGATCAACTAAATTAATGGTCACTGCCACCCGAAGGAGGTGCTGTATTCCCTCAGCATCCCCTTATTATCCTTGCACTACACTGATAGTACTTGATTGGTGGATTTTGTCTATTTGCTTTTTCTTAAGAAACGACATATATAGTTTTTGGATATGTTTTCCATAGCATAAAATGACAGCCAGAGAACAAGCCTTCATGCCAAGGGATGGCCTGATTCCTGTTGACAGCAGCTAATCCTTAGATCAGCTCTGTCTCAAGAACCATCAACCTAAATCTTTCAAGAAGACTGGACAGTTCAGAGGAACACAAGAATTTTTCTACTGGAGTCAAAGCAACGTCTGATCTAAAAATTAGACATTGTTAGAGACAGGATCCAATGCAAGCTAGCACTTTAAAAAATAGAAAATCACTTGGTATTTCTGTGTCCCTTCTGGCTTCTTTTTTAAGTTGTGATTCCTGCTTCCTATTTTCAATGCAAATATTGAGTCATGTTTGCTTGAAGGTGGGATCTGGCGAGTTCCCAATGGGAACCATGGCTGGCCTGCACTTTTGTTCACCATGAGTCTTCCTTTATTAATGTGGTGGAGAGATTCATATTTGCTAGGGTTTGTGTATTTACTTCAAGACCGACACTTGCTTCTAGACTTTACTGAGAAAGCTAGCCAGTTGTGAGCAGTCTTCTAACTCTTCTGCATAGCCTAGCCACCTGTAAGTGCAAAAGCAACAGTAGAAATAAAAAGTGAGTTCACAGTGAAACCTGTGAATCGGATTTACCAGTTCCAGAGGCCCAAATAGGAAATGCACCAACTCTGAAGCGCTGGGGTTCTGGATGTGCTTTCTCAGTTTGGCCTGAAAAGAGAAAGGAAACCCAGTTTAACCTATCTTGATTTTTGTGTTCTCTTTTCTGTCACATGGAGGGATTGTTGCTGATTGATATTTGCTATAGTTAATAATTCAGCCTACAAAACAAGGAAACTTTCAATAGTGCACCTGAAATCTGGGAAAAAAAGTGATTGGGGAGCAACAGTCATTCAGTTTTAGATCATTTTTATTTTGTGTCCATTCCTAAGGGTGTTGAATTTTGGGAGGGGTGGAGTACCTACTCTGTTAAAATCAGTCCATTTGAAACTATTTTAAGCAGAAAAACTTGGCTTATTTTGAAAGTCTTAGTGAGGAAGGGCCAGACCTACTGCTTCTGACTCTTGCAAAGTTGATAATCCCACTAGTTCCCATGAATGAAAACAACAAAGCAAAGTGTTTTGTGGGATCCCTTGACAAATTGCTGACAAGGAGAAATTTCTACTAAGGTCTTGCCTGCAGCACCTAGAGCTGCCCTGGCCACTGAAATGCTTGGTATTTGGAGTAGACTGTAGTGGAATGGAGGAGCAAATGCGTAGGGTTATTCTACTGTAAAGAATTGTATTTCATTAACAGCAATCAGCTGAGCTGTCGTGAGAAACCACTTCAGTCTGTGCTTCCTTTCATCTTCCTTGTGTCCTGTGCTGGTAGCATTGCTGCAGTGGAAACCAGACTCCCTCCTCCTTACTGAAATGAAAAGCATTTTAAATGCTGGTGATTAAACACTCATGTGGAAAGTGTGAAATAACTGATGGCAAAGAGGTGACTAAATGAAATGGCACTTCCCAAGGACTTTGCAGCCATGTGGCATGAGACAGGAGTGCTGGGACTGTGCTCCAGCACTGATTCCCTGCTCTCCTTTCTTGCCCCCGGCCTCTTGCTGGGAGACCTTGTGGGTTTGTGGATATGCAGACAGCAAAGTCCAGGGCCCGAGTGCTGGGAGAGCTCGGGCACGTGTATATATTTCCTATGTGTTGGCTCCCATGCTGGTGACTGGGGAGCAGCAGTGGTGCTGAGCTCGGGGGCTGTGCACCAGAGTGTTGGCACAGATCCACGCTTGCGGCAGCATTGCACGATGGGCAGTATCCGGGGAAGGACCCAAACTCTGGCACAGACCTGGGCTGTGACTAAGGCTTTGGCCACACTGACTCCACTGTATTTCTCTCAGCAGTCAGAAAGGGCTGGGATGCAATAGCCCAGCTGAGATTTCTTTATGCTTAGAGAATCCTCAGCTGCTTCTTCAGGGCAGCTAACATCCCACTGGGGATGCGTGGCATCACCTTTGCAGGGAGCCTGACCGGTTTGTGTGAGAGCAGTGATTCCTGGCCTGAGCTGCCACCTCTGGGACTCTGTTCTGGTCCTGAGCAGGCAAAAAGTATGTGTATTTGCTTTTAAAAGAAAAGGCTGGAGCTTGGTGTCCTGCATTAAGATTGTTTACAATCTCTGGTTTCCTTACTAATAACTTCTCAGGAGGGATCTTGTTAGGCTGTGTTTGCTGGGCAATTTGGTCAGAACTGCCAGAATTTCCTTCTGGCTCGTTACCCTCCTGGTCTCACATACTTCACTAAGTGGAGCTGGCAGCACTGGGAACATCTTTATGCTCCTGCTTTTCATCCCCTTCTTAAGATGGCAACTCCTCTAGGGAAGAAAGAGAGGAGCCAGGAACCTGAGAGCAATGGGGGACATCAGTTATTGTTAACTGGAGACTTTCCAGGCCTCTGGCTGAGGCAGCTTTACAGCTGCTCTGTATACAGAATTGGATAGAACAATTTAAAGTAGATAAGACTTTTTCTTCTCTCTTAATATTTGCAGTCCTCTGTTTTATGACTTGTAAGGATAACAAGGACCACAGCTCTTGCAAAACTACCCAGACTTTTAAAGGCCACAAGAAGAAGTGAATATCTGGAGTGGGGATGTCTATATAAATCTTTGCACAGCTATCAGAAGGGTGGGCATGGCAGTTCTTAGCTCTCTAAGCTCACAGCTTCACAAATGTTTTAGGTCAGGACTGTATCTGAAGAGAGATCCTGGCACTGCAAGGCCCCTGGCTGCTCAGTCCCATCCTGGGCTTTATGCTTCTAATTTCAGCTTAACAACTTGGCCCAAGAAACCTGCACAAGCCTGGCACAATCTTCTGGATTCTGAAGAATCTAGAATTCACACCTTTGTCCCTTGATAGTGTTTTCAGTTCAAATTTCACTTTAAATGGTTACTCCTGTGATAGATGGGGAAAAAGCTGTGTTACTGCAAGGGATTAAAATACCCTCTGTGTCTTACCAAGAGGTTAAAAGCCAGTTTGGTTTTCTGGAAGCAGTCGATGAACTCGGCCTCACTTGGGGGTCTTGCTCGAAGAGTCAGCATGCCCTCTTTCATGAGAAGGTGGAGAGAAAGACACTTTAATTAGAGCATTCATTTTCAGGACAGTTTCATCTTGCTACCATGCAGAAGACACAGCAATAATGGGTTCTGAGACTAGAACTACTGAAAATCAAGGGTTCAAGAGAGGCCAGAAGTCTTTCTCTGTGTTGGAGGTTTCACTAGGCTCTGTGTGCTCTACAGGAGGTCCCCACAGACCAGTGGCACCTTCAAAACTGGTGTAGCTGCTGTTGGGTCCACAGCCATGCTCCTGCATCGATCTGGCCTTGCTCAGATGTGACCTGAGGTCTCCTCCCAACTGTCACCTGTGCCCCTGTGTTTCCCCCTTTGTTCTAACTGCTGCACTGTACCTGCTGGCCCTTTCTTCTTGTTCTTCTTCCCTTTCTTCCTCTGGTTGAGCTGTCTGAATGCCTCTGCAGCCTTCTGAAGCCTGGCGACAAACACTTCAATGTCATCCAGAGTGCAGTTCAGGATTTGCTGTGAGGACAGAAATGTGACAAACCAAGGTGAAAGACAGTCCGAAGAGCACGCAGTTGGGAAGCCCCTATCCTGGAGCATGCTGCTCTGTGCCCACTTCATTTCCTGGAAGAATGCACAGGAATGGGGAAACCAGGCATGAAATGAAGCTGAATTCATCACTTACCAAACACAGAGCTGTGCCTGGTTGTGTGCTGTACTTGTCAATGTGACGAGTGACCCCTGCTAATGTACGTCTGGGAAATAGCCCCAAGACTGCAGTGTGAGCTGGGGAGTAGACTTTCTGAGGTCAGCACAGCTACCTCAGATCAAAAGAGATTGTATCTGACCCAGTGATGGAGCTTTGGTTTTGTTCACCTTATGTTTATGCACGGTAGATATTGGTCTAACAATAGCTACATTATGCATAAAATGTCTGCTTGTGAAGGAGTCCCTTGCTTGCTTCCTCTCTTCTCCCTCTCCCTCTGCCCACTGACTCTGAACCATTCTTGTTACCAACCGTTTCTTTTTCAATCTTCTGTGCTAAGATGGCTCGGGACTCTTCGTGGTCATGAGAGCCAGAGCCTCGTCGTTCATAGTCTGCAAACAAGGGAGACAGAAAATTATATTTACTATCAGAGGTTGAAAGTAGGCTCCATTAAATGCAGGGACCCATGGGATGGTAACTCTCAGCTTGGTTGTTTATTCTGTGTATGAGAGCATGTCAGGAGATAACAGAGAGCAGGAGGTTATCAAAGGTGCTGATTAAATCTTCCACAGCACCTGCCTGCCAGCCCTCTGTGTCGATACACTCCCTGTTTTCAAATATAAGCAGTGAAGAGCAGCCAGCTACGGGCAGAGACCTCCAAGCTGCTGTGAGTCACTAACTCCTTTGCATTTGATTCATCTGAGCTTATTTATGCCGGCAGAGGAGCTGAAGAGCCGTGGCTCGTGTGGCAGAGCACTCCATGTGTATGTAAAAAACAATGAGAGTAACTCTCACCCTCTCTTCTAACCCTCAGCTCTCTGCAGGAGCCTTCCTCATCCCAGAGATACCAGCTTAACTAGATAGTAGTATAATTGAGGAAGAGTAAGACTGGGAAGTAAATGTAACTGTCACTTGCTAGAAAGCAGTCTGCCAGGAATTCTGCATGACTGATGTTTAAGCAGGCCTATACACAAATTAGTATTTTTGTTCAAACTTGTGTGTAGTCTCTCAAATGTTTTTAATGGGTATTAAAAAAAATCCTCCTGCAATAAAAAAACCACAGGCACCTCTCAGCTTCCAGAAGACAGACATGCAGTGAAGGGGTGATATTTCAGTGTGAACAATTGCTCAGGTCACCTCTTGTGAAAAGAATAATGTGTCAGCTCAGTGAAATGGGGTTTGAAAGGGCCAGCACAGCAGCTGGTTGGACAGCGGGATATATAAAGTGGGAGAACTGGGGAGGCAGTTTTGGCAAAGGACCGTGAAAAATGTACGTCATTTTGAAGTGTTAAGATGAGGTGAGTAGTTGTGACATGTTTTGTAGCAAAAACAATACGGTGTGTTTCAAAGGAGAAGCGATCTCAGTAAACAGACGTTGTTCAAGATTTTCTCCTGTTACCTGCTTTAGTGCCAGGCTCTGTGTTCTCAGAACCAGCAATCCTGCCTGGGTTAATGCCTGGCTCTGCTGATGTAAGCAACAGACTTAAAGCATTCTGCTGAGCATCCTGGGAAGGGCAGAGTTAAGGGTGGCCATTCATTAAAAACTGCTATGCATCAGGATACAGATGTTTATACATGGTCCAGCCCTGAAGTATAGCTCTTGTTTTCATTTTGCAAAACTGAACATGAAATAGGCTCTCCATTTAGGAGGCCAGAGCAGCTGCTTGGCTTCAGATCCTGTCCCAGGGAAATGAGTGTTTTCTCTCCTCTTATGGTATCCTGATCATGTGTTTTCCTTGAACCTAGAGATTAATCCTAAGAGAAAGTAGCACAATAGGCACTGATAAGAAAGGCTTATCGTTTAATCATCATTTTAGTCAATTTGAGCTTTTGTCTGAGAAAAGCTCCCAGTAACAGAAATAAGTTCTATTGCTGTTACTTCTTTCTCCACAGAGAAATACAGGTTTTTTACAAGCCAACTCAAACAGGCTGAAGGTTTTAGATTAGCACATGAGAGAGGTGAGTTTAGATCTGCATTTCCACGCTCTAGGAGAATTAATGCAAACCACTTGATTTTGGAGGGTGAAATCTTGGCTCCTGTGAAGTCAGTGGAGCCAGGAATTTGCCTTTCTGACCAGGTCTGTGTTGTCTGTATGTTTTAAGATCACTGGTGCTTGGTCCAAACTTCATGTGATGGCTCAGTTTTATGAAGGGCTTTCACTTATTTTGGGGATTTTCAGTATCCCCAGAATACATGTTGTTACAAGGAGTTTCTAGGAGTTTTGACTTATTGAGTTGCCATTGAGATGATGCCTACTGCTAACCCAGTGGTTAAAAATGCTTGCTGCAGCCTCATTTTTAGGCATTTATAAAGCATAGCCAGAGATGCAACAAAATGTTGTGCCTTTGGTATGTGTCTGTGTTATTTTAGAACAGTGAAAAGACACTGATCTTCCCTGTGTCCCAGTGGTACAGGGCCTGAAATGACCACGCGCCATTTCAGAAGGGCTGGCTGTCTGGGCTAACGAGTCCCCCAACCCCAGGACAGACCTGCTGAATGCTCCCAGTACCTGGATTGTGCTGGGAAGGAGGTGCCACCCGGTTCTTGTTCATTGCTGAGCCTCGTGTGTCGTGCTGGATGGGGATGGGAGCTGGCCCTTGTGGTGGTGGGAGGATGGATTGTCTCTGCCTGATCTTTTCTTGGTTTGCTCTGCAAGGGAAACAGTGCAGAACAACCTTGTCAGTGGCTGCCAATCCTGTTTCTGAGAGACTGGTGTGCGAATGCACTATTGTAAATGGGGCTTTTTTTTTTTTAACTCCCAGCTGTATCCTGCAGTACTTACTTGAGTGTCTGTGGCCGTATCTTCTTCCCATGTTTGTGGTCTGCCAGGGCACTTTCTATGTCCTCATGAACCATCTCCGCCTCAAAGATAAAACAGGGGTGTTTTTAAGGGCTTTTCTTCGGAAAGGATTGAGGGCTCTAAGTGGGCAAAGCAAGAAGGGGCTGGCAGAGCTAGGAGCTCTCTTTCACATGGGCGAGGAGGGCTCTGCTCACCTCCACCTCATCGCAGTTGAAGAAGTGGATGTCAGGTTTGTGCTGCTCCGAATCCTGACACACCAGGAGGAGGATGGAGGAATAGCGCATCTGATTCAGCACCGTTTGGCAGTGCTGGACTGTCGGCAGAGGAAAGTCCTCCAGCTCCTCCTGGGAGAGAAAGAGGATGGGGTCAGGTAATGGGAATTGTTGAACTGACGAGGAATGGTCTTGTGTGAACTCCTGGGATCCCTGTTTGAGGACAGCACTGGTTTGCTGGGCTCTTCAAAGACACATGTCAGGGTTTGCAGATGGGCAGTGGCTTGGGGCTGCAGAATAGGGGAGAGGTGGATGGCAAACAGAGGTGAGCTCTTGTTTTCCTCTGAGTCCTGAATACTGGGCCCAGAGTGAGACTTCAATAACTTGAGCTTTGTTGCTCACCACCTTCTTGTTGCTGTGCTTTACCTGCACCAGTACACTTGTGCATCTCAGCAGAACACTGGGAGGAAAGACGCTTTCTGTGAGGGGCTTACCCTCCTTGGATGACCTCGGGCTAATATTTAGTTTTTCATTGCTAAAATCAGGGCAGCACCATCCCTCTCCTGCTATCTGTCTGCTCTTTCCCCTCAGATTATGTGCCCTGTGTGCGTGCACATGTATCACGTCAAAATGGGGCACTGTTCTCAGGCAGGTGATCCTGTGTGTTACTTTAATGCAAGCATCCCCTCTCTGCTTATGCTTATCAGATCTCTGTGGACCTGCAAGTCTGCATCACTCCTACAGAAAGCAGTTTTACTGTTGTCTGGGAGCACAGCTCAAGGTATCTTTGCCCTGGAGCATCTGTGCTCTGGAGCCGTGAATAAATCATCCCACACCTACCTGCCCTTTGAATGACAGTCAGCCAGCCCCCACACACTCAGGAGTGGATTTTTGTAGTGATTCACCCTTCTTTCGGCTCCTTAGAAAAGGCCCTCTCAGGCAGAAGGGAAGGGCACACTCTGCACCCTGTGTGTCAATCTGTGGGGAGCTCTCGCAGAGCTGGGGGTACCTGTGACTCGCAGTCCAGCAATCGGATGGACTTGTCGTTCACTTGCAGCAGCATCTCCTGTGTCCAGATCTTCTCTTTTGAGTTGAGCAAGATGAGTTTTCGGATAGCATCATCCACTGTCACGATGGACTCGCTCTTGTCCATGATGAAGGTGGCCAAGTGCTGAAGTTGGGAAGAAAGAGGGAGGAAAAAACAGGTCAAAAAGCTTTGATGGTGTGTGTGTACTGTAAATCAGTAGCAAAACCATCTCTAGAGGCTTGAACTGTTGGTTCTTTGTAGCACAGGCATGCAGAAGTTGCTGTAGAAAGTGTACGTTCTGGTTGTTAGTGCCAGCCTGCCCGTAGTGGTAAAAGATCAGGGGTTTGTAACACAGCAAGGCTTTTCATAACAAGTTTCACCACTTGCATATTTATCTCATCATATGTCAACTCTATCAGCTCTGGCCCCCGGCCACAAGCATGTGTTTGCAAATTCTTTGTACATGCGAGTTAGTCCCTGCCTTTTCTGAAACTGTCTTGGAAGTTTAAATATGATAGTTAAGCTTCACTTGCCAAGATAAAAGCACTTGCATTCTGCTCATCTCATGTAGCAGATCTCCCTGTGTCTAATTTGTCCTAGGCAAAGAGCTCACAAAAGACATGGGCGAGTGTTAAGCCTGTGTGCCAAGGTGGGATCCATGCGATGTGTGGGCTTCAGCCAGGTCCCCAGTCCCGGGTAATTCACCAGGCAGCACAACTGAACCAGAGAGCTGCTGCACTGCAAAGCTGCTCCAAACCTGGCAGCTGACTGCACCAGCCCTTCAATCCCCTCATGTTACTTTCCCTCAACAGTTATCCAGATCAGCCCTTGAGATAGCAAAGATTGGCCTCGATAACTGTAAGAAGGGATTTTGCCCTCCCCTCTTGCTCTGCCTCATGTGGGCCCTTGGGCCGGGAGCCACTCATGTAAGGTGTAACATCCCACCCATGACTGCACTCGGGTGCTTTCCCATCCCTGCTCTGGCTGTGTCCCAAAGCGTGTGCGATCCAAGCCTTGTGCTTGGCTCTTGTGTTTACTGAGAGTTTGTGTGATTGAGCTGCACCTGCAGGCTTTGGATGGCTCCTGGGGCTCCCTGCAAGGGGACTGCTGGGCAGGGGGGAGCTGCACAAAGGAGAAGCATGTTGGATCCAAACGATGTGACCCCAGCAGTGGGTGAAGGCCACTTTAGAAATCCAGGTAACTTATTTATTTGCACTCTGATCAGCAGCCGGTGAGGGCAAGTGCTGCTCTCTGTGGATGGGGAGAATGCGTGTCTGCCAGCAGAGGGGACTGCAGGGCAGGAGAAGCTGGGAACCTTCTCTAAGTGGAGCAGCCAGGCTGGGTTCTGTGCAGTTGTCCCTGTGCGAGTGACAGCAGAGCCAGGCCACGTGTTCAGGTGACAACAGGGGAAGGGAAAGAATTCAGGAAGGAAAAGGAAGTGGTGCTGTCTCACCTTGTTGCCTCTGCTGCCTTGCTGTGTTCCTGATGAGGAGAAGGGAAGGAGAACATGCCTGACCGGTAAAGCAGCTGAAGCTTTTCCCTGTCATAACCAACCTTCTGCAGGAGATAAAGGCAGGAGGTTTTTTGGATGGACAAGTTATAGGCCTGACCAAGCGTCTGTGCTGTAGCTGGTCCTGGGGCCTGTTGCTGGGAGGCTTGTCAGGCCAGGTCCCAGCTCTTTCTCTTTTGCCTGGAATATCAATGGTCCATCTGCCAGCATGACCTTCTCACCCAGCTTCCTCTGCTCAGTAGCATTAGGATAAATAACAGGTTGCTGCTGAATCAGCTGTGGCTAAGAGCCATGGAGCAGATTAACCCTTCTAGCAGGGAGACCCAGGTACTGCACGCAGAGCAGATGTGGGGCTGGGGGCAACACTGGGGCAACTCCACAGTCCTGCCAGACTTTTAGTGTTTGTGTGGATGGCAGCAGTGGAAACTCCTGCTTGTCTTTGCACAAATCCTGCAGCCTGGTTTCAAAGCAAGGGCTGGAAAAATGGGGTGTGTTTAAAGCAAGCCACAAATTGGGATGTGAAATTTGGAGAGGCTTTGTTGTCTGTAGTACAGGGATGAGTTTGCCTGGCTTTTTCTCCCTCTGATCTTCGTGCCTTCTCCTAGTGATCACACATAAGCTTTTAAGTGTTCTCACAGTTTCTTTCTGGTGCTGACTCTTTGCCTGCAGTGGTGCTATATCAGGGGTCGGGGTCCAGCATAGCACAAAAAGACGGTCTTTGTCCCAGAAAACTAGCAAGTAAGAGCTGCAAAATGTGAGAAGGAGAAACGGATGGGGGAAAAAAAAAAGTCTTTTCCCAGTAGCACTCTGAGCTCATGAGCTGATTGAACAATCAACTGGTAGTGTCTGTAATTGGCACGCGCCTCAGGGCAACAGAGAAGGATGAGAGAGTTGCTTGGGAAGGAAACCCTTTTATACCTATAAGAACCTGGGGGGGTGCAAAGTGAGGAGCAGACTGAGGCAGCAAAAGCTGACCCTGCTCCAGCACCAGGGCAGGACTTTGGGGAGGCCGTGAACACTAGGGTCTGATACAGACCAGACGGACCTGAGGAAGATTCATGTACTTGGAGCATGGAGCCTTGGATGGTTGTTGTGGCAATCTGCTCCAGACAAGGTGGATGCAGGGGGAAAGTCTCTGGTAGCCAGACAGCCAGAAAAGGCTGAATCTTAAGATGTGGTGGTTGGTGGTGGGAATTAGGGTTGGGGAGGATTTGTGGTGACCAATTTGTTGTTAAAGTGGTTGGTGGGTAATTCACAAAGACTGGAAAGAGCAGAGAAGAGGATAAACACTGCTGAACGTAAGACCCAATCTGGTATTCATAAGGCAAAGGTACTGGGTGAGGCACTGTCTAAATAAAGCTCCTGGCAGGTATTTGAGCTGAAAGCTGAGATTAGCCATACAATCAGATATGAAAAAAATGTTCACGTATATGTTACTGTAATCATAAAATAGTGCACGAAAGGTATTCACAAAGTCAATATTATCAGTGCAGAGGTGACAAACCCTCTGCTTTCTGCACAGTGAAGAGAATTGGTTTATACCCGATGACAGGCATACTTATCTGCTCTGTTATTTTAACTGCCGTGTTTACAATCTTCATAAATTCCTTTGTTGTTTACTGTTAAGTAAGTTAATTTTCATGGAGGGGAATGCCAGTTGTCTAACTCGGAATCATTAGAAGATTTTTTTTTTTTCGTTTCCATTTACTTTAGATACTGATAACTCTACTGTCCTTGATTTATCTCGTTAGAAACCCTTTTCATCCAGATGGATATTCAAATATAGTAGCTTTTGTCAGAATGGGCAATGGTTCCATCCACTATTAAACTTTGATCAGCTTACAGATTACTTCAAAGGCTGTAAAATACTTATTGTGAGAAAACCTCTTCCTACCTCACTGCCTGCCACTGAAATCCTGTTTGGCTTGGTCAAAGTTCAAGGTAGAGACTCAAGTGGGTGGCATATGGCATAATTAATGAAGAATTCATGTACATGTCACTGTTTAAAGTCCCTTCTCTGCCTCAATGAGTGACTTTATTTGGTAGGAGTCACTGATGGGGATGGTTGGCAGGGCCACTGATGAGACAGCTGCCCACTGAGGTAGTTTCTCTGAAGGAAACCCGAGCTTCTTTCCAAACAAGCGTTTTTAAAGGTCTAAATTTCATTTTAAGCAACTGAACAGGCTCCTTGATTTCTAACTGCATTCTTAAGCTCTCTGCTGGACTGGGGTCTTAAACGAAAGAGAGGGCCCTAAATATGGACTAAATCTGTCTACTACTAGCTACTAAATATGGACCTCATGAAGAGTTTTCCTTTCTCGCCTTGCTGGATTTTCAGTGATGAATGGTCCAGCTGGCCCCAGACAGGCACCTTTGTTCCCACTGTGGCTTGTGCCAGCGTGTTGTGTTACAGGAATCACCGGGCCCGGGATGGCCAGGCTGGCTCCTCTCTTTTGACTGGATGTCTGTGACACTGGGAGATTAATTTGGCTTAATGCCTGTCATGGTTGAAAGGTTTTGAGTTACTTGAGAGGACACAGTAGCTGAGGGAGAGCTGAAAGATGATAGTCGATGTGGTTGCTGTTGTTTGGGCAGATGAGTTCCTGTAAACACCATGGGAACCCTGCTTTTAACCTGTCTGCCCGTGCTAATCAAGAAGCAGCATAGGGTGATGAGAGGGACAACAGCTTTCACTGCTCTCCCTTCAAATGCAGAGGAGGGAGAGAGGACATAGTTTCTCCATTTCCTGTTTAATTTTAAAGAATTTCCCCGGTCTTTTTAACATCTTTTTTTCTCACTGTTATTCTCTCAGCAAAATGAAGTGTTGAGTAATTGGGGAATCTTGATTATTCATAAAGGAAATAAATTTTTGATAAATGACGGTTTTGTATGCCATTTTCAAATTACATTTAAAGTAGAGGTCTATACGTGCTTAAACCAACTTCACATTCTCTAACAATCATATTTGCCCTCCCTTCTTTTCAACCATTTCCCATCTGCAAAAATTGTCCAGCTGAAGGACTGATTAGTGCTGACTCAACAGTAAGTCCCTGAGATGGTGACCTCCCAAACACACATCAACCTCATAGCAAGAGGACAGGGTTACTGACCTCAAAATGTCCCCAGACACCAGTCCTAGATGTAGCCCATCAAGGCAAAGGGGACAAGCCAGTATCTCCTGAGTCTTCGGTACGGGTCAGCACACTGGCCATGCAGAAGCAGGTGGCCAGTCACTGTTTCTTTCCCCCTCACCAAAGCAGTCTGTCTAATGTGGGCTTCTCTCCCACTTGTCAGTTCAAAGAAATGTGTGGAATCCCAGCGAGGGACAGTTAAATGGTTGGATGTGAGAGAAGCCACCAAACTCTGGACCCACCTTTGTTACAGGATTTGAGCGTGATTCGAAGTTGTGCCATGGAAAAATCTTTGTAGCCTTGTGGGAGCTATACCAGAGTCTATTTGCTTGGACTTTCAAATAGGTCAGTACTGTGAGGGGGCAACTGCTGCTCTACAAAGCAAGGAGTTGAAGAGGAACAATAGACGTAAAAGATGGCAGGAGAGCTGGTGCTGAATTTAGACAGATCAGGCAGTATGTAAGAGGAGGGGAAAGAAATTAATTCAGTCCAGCCTGAAACCACCAACTTCTAGGAAGGAGTGGGGTCTGTTTTGGGAGAGCAATTTTCTCGGGACTTGTGCTGTTCTCATAGTCCTTTAGTTTATCTCCTCAAAGTGACTGTGGTGAAGAAATTCCTGTGGTCTTTACTTTCCTACCCTTTTGTGCTCAAAGAAATCGGATGAGGAGCCCAGACGACCCTATGTAGTAGCATGTTACATGTCATTGAAAGGACTTGTCTGGTCTCAGCCCCTGGGTCCAGGCTGGCAGGGCCATAGTGACCCACAGCTCAAGGAGTGAAACTACAGCGGATGGCTACATCTGGAGTGTGTCCTACAGTCCAGGAGCTACAGACTGCAGCCAGCTGGGTGGAAAGCTCAGGAGGCAAGTTTATCTATAGGCATCAGGGAGGCAGGAACTGCAGAAAAGAAATATGAGGTTTCAAGCAGGTTTGCTGTTTGCTTCTCTCAGGGTGTGAAGAGCAACACTTATTGTAAGAAGGTTCCCAACTCCTCTTTGGCCTGATGAAGGCCCAGGACAAACGAAGCGTGTTATATTTACCAGCATCTATCACTGACCTTTCAGCCTCTCAATGTTTCATTACATACTCACCTGCACATGGTACTGTGAAGTCTCATGCATAATGACATTGGAGTTGGAGTATTTTTTCCTTTGTTCTGAAAAAAAAAAAAAAAAGAAAACAAGCCTTCACTGTAGTGGCTGTTTATCAGTATATCAGGGTCTGAGAATTACAGCTCTCATGATGGGGTGCTACAGTCTTTCTCATAGTCTCTGAGCTTCCAGCTTCAGTCAAAGTATTGGTAATAATAAGACATATTAACTTTTGTAACAAGGATTGGCAAACTGGGTGTGTAGAGTACACATTCCAGTTGTATACCCTAATGCTGCTGATAATTTGATTCCTGGAGGTCAGCACCATTTGTGGAGGAAATTAAACCTAGTGTAAAGGAAAGCCCCAGACAAATGATTAGGGGAGCTCTTGGAAGAGGGCTGAGGAGTGGCTTGAGAAGCCTGGCAGAAGGCTTCTTGCAAGAAGAAAAAATCCAACCATAACCCATCAGTTTGCACGTAACAGCCCTTTGACTTGTCCTCTGCACTACTGTGACACTTTTAGTTTGCTTTCTTGCATCTCCTGGCAAGCCACAGTAAAGGGCTGTAGTTACTGATAGGAAGGGCTGTAGGGATCAAGGCCAGCCACTCAGAACCAGAGTTTCTTATATGATATCTTTATGCAGCAACAAATCTCCATAACTTCCTGCATTTCTCGCTGGAAAGTAGCAGTAAAGAGCAATTGGGGACGAAAAATACTTGAAATTTCACAAGGCAATTGAATATAATCCTGTAAGAATTTACCCTGCCAGCTCTTACTTGCTGATTAATTTGTACTTGCCAGGGATTCCTTATAAAAACTTTGCTTGAATAGCAGATGATTAACTATCCAGGCCCAGAGTGATCTGGGAGCATCCCAACTGAAAACATCTTTCTCACCAGCAGAGGACATCCTCTGATCTCTGGTTTGCTTAGAAAATGCAATGGCAGTTTTATATGTTTTCACCCTTCGTAAAGCCTGTGTTAGAATATCCTCTCCTCTGTAGCAACAGTCAAAACCGAGAGATTTCAGAACACAGCAAACGTTAGGGCTCCCTGTGTTTTAAAGAAGTATATATTAATCTTGGTTTACTTGTGGTTTACTTCAAAGCTGTCTTTAATGGCTTCTTGGAGATGTTGGCTTCTCTCTTATTTCCCCCTTTTCTTTGAACACGGAACTTGTGGTCTCATTTAACAAATTTTACATTAAAGAGGCTGGCACTTAGAAAATGAATATCCTCATAGGAACTCATTCAGTCAATTTTCAAATTTAAAAAAAAAAAAATTTTGGAGGTGCAAGTCCTAAGTAAGACTTTCCGGAATGTTTCCTTAGTTTATATTATTAGTAGCATGTCACATTTTAATTGACAAACACTCTGCAAAGACAAGAAACACTGGTAGTATTTTTGATTGCTAAAAATTGAAACTCTCCCTGTAATCAAAAGAGAGTGACTTTTTAGTTTTTAACAAAAAAGATGGAAAACTAGAGAGAAGTCTATTGCAAAGTGCAGACAGTGAAATGAAGTGAATATGAAGCAAAGCAAGGGCAGGGCAGAAACTGAAAGGGGCTGGAGGTGGGAAGGAGCAGGGTCTGCTGGAGCAGTGACCATCTGTGATGCTCCTGGAAGGGCCCTGCCCACGTGGACAGGCTACGGGCAACCAGGGTTCTGTTGGGTCACTCCTTTGGGTGATAATGTGGGAAAGAGGACAGCAGCCTAATGAAGGTGTTGATGATGTAGCTCCTCCCTAGGGACACCATGGTTTGACTTTTCCTTTTGCTGCCCTCTGAAACTGCAAGTGTTTTGCATGAGTTCTCCCCTGGTTTGCTTTTGTGTGAGTCTTCCCTTTTGGGTCAATGAGCACAGCTTAGGGGGTTGCAGGAGCTCCAGTGGTAGTTCTGGCTTTACAACTGCTAGTGTCTTGCCTCCCCCTCTGCCTTGTGTAAAAGAGAAGTGACTGTTTCCTGTCTGCTGCTGCTACTATTGAAGTTACTGTCCCATTTGTCCCCCCTGCTCTCTGAAGTGGCCTCTCAGCCTGGCCAGACATGGTCTCCTCAGCGTTGCCTTCCCACTCTTGGTTGTGAGGCACGAGTTGCTTTGCAGAGAGAGAAGCCCCCAAGCCCTGAGAAGTGAGCCATGTGGGCTTGCTTAGAGAAGTCAGACAGGTTCTCTGTGTGCCCTGGCTCCCTCAGCAGGGCCGGGAGGTGGCTCTGGCCTGTTGGGTGTGTGTTGCCACAAAAAAAAAAAAAGGAAGAGTGATGAGTGTGGAGGATCAGAGCAGGGACAAAGGGGGAGTGAAACTGAGCAGCACCCACTCTCTGGTCTGCTTTGTGCTGTTTGCACATTTGTTCACAGACTCCTTAACAGCCTTTTTACAAGTTTATCTTACTGAGGTTGCTGTGGAGGGACTTCCATGCTGCTGGTCAGGGGAGCCAGGGTGCATGCAGGGGAAGAGGGAAGGGTGTGTGGTGCACACACCCAGGTCTCCTACCTTGGGTCTTTGCGTGGGAAGAGGCCCAGCAAGTGGGACAGGGGTAGAGTGCACAACAGAGCACCCACAGAAGGGAAAACTGTCATGATTTACAGAAGTAGTGACGGCAGCAGTGCTGCTTTGGCAGCCTTTTCCTTCTCTTCTGACTACATCCCAGCAAAAATGGTCTCTGGCCACTTCACTCCAAGAAAGTGCAGTCCCCTGCTTGCTCCCAAACCAGAGTTGTTTTCTACAAGGTCTACTAAGGCTGTTCTTTACATATTCTCCAAAGCTACCAGGAATCACCACGACTCCTGGAAATGGATGCCATCTCCAGCAGCTACCTGCTGTTGCTTCACACTAGTTCATACTGTGCATCCTGTCCTTCCCTTTCCCTGAGCTCACTGGGCAACTGCTCAGGGACAGCAGAGGGTCAGTGGACTGCAGCAATGGGATGGAGAAATGAGAGTCAGGATTGGAAAGTGTCCCACTTTCAGCAGATAAAAACTGGTTGTGGTTGAAGAAGCTCAGACCTCCCAGGTTATATTAGGCTGCTGGTCTTTAGCATTTCTTGTCTGTTGGGTGCTCTCACTCTGTGACCTGCCTGGGTTTGGGGCTGTGAAATGCTAGTGAGACCCAAGGGGCAGTGGAGTTGGGATCAGGGCCTGGGACATGCACAAGTTTGCAGCATGTTTTTTGCTTTGGGTTTGATCTGTGAACCTTTTCCCCAGACTCCCCTTGCATCTCTGTTACATTTTGATTTCTGCTTGGCTTCCCTGGAAGGAAGGTGAGCAGGGCCCTGAGCTGGGCTCAGGAAGCACTGCCAGCAGGTGTCCCTGCAGAACAAGCACCGGCCTAGTGGGCTGCTTTCCTTGGGGTTTTCACCCTTCTCTGTGGCCAGCGCAGAGGAGCTTTTAAATTGAGCTCCTTTTGGTACTTCTCCGAAGATGCAGGGCTGAGCGCTGGTAGCAAACTTGGCTATGGCTGCAGGAGCATGCTAAATGTACAAAGATAGCTCAGAGAAAACAAACAGGAAAGAGATGCTGCTGCTTTCGTTTGGAGCCTGGCAAGGGTTGATAGAAGCTGATTTCTAATGCTTTTGAACACTTTTCTAACACTTTTAGCCTGAGGTGTGCCATCAGCTTGGCAGGACACCCCGAGTACTTTGCACCTAGTATCTCTGTACCTGTGACTGAAAACAACAGCAGCTTGCTTTGCCTCTGTGGCTAATTCCTGGTAGCCCTGAAGTGGCTGCTGTTTGCAAGTAGAAGGGATTTATTGGTGGGCATGTCAGTGGAGATGGCAGGTCTCTGAGCCGGTGCCTTTTACACCACCAGCGCCGAGTTAGAGGTGGAGCAAAGACATTCGGGGGGGTGTGGGGTGGGGAAGACCTCAGACACCCAGCACAACACCCTGCTCAGCCATTAGCTTCCAGAGTGACCTTGAGTAAATTAATTAATATTTCAGCACAGCTACTTCCCACTTTCGACTTGCACTGAAGAGTCAATGGCATTTTCTGTGTGTTTTAATTGCAGTCTGCCCTACTTCAAATGTGGGGCAAGGTCTGGTATAGGGCACACGGCAATGCACACCACAGGGATTTGTGTCTGATGTAAATTTTTTTTTTCTCTTAGTAACCTCAATTTCCTCACCAAGCATTCCTCATGTAAATAGATGACACTAATGGAAATGAGAACACGGCTCTGTGTGGGATGGAGACAAATTTGGATTCGAAGACATCCTGTCCCCTCCTTTTAAAAAGGGAGTGGAAAGGCTAAAGTCTTTGGTCTGGGAACAAAGGGTTTTTACATTAGGACAGGCAAATGTCTCCAGCCCTGAAAGGAAGGGCGCAGAGATGCGTCGGGAGCTGGTAGTCCCAGAGGAAGGGAAGGTATACTGGGGGGATGTGGTTTCCAGAGGGAGGCTACCGTAGGTTTGTTTCTGGTAGGAGAACAGTCCGTGGAGCTGTAGCAATGGTCAGGGCTGCAGCTGGTTGCCTACAGACTGTCTGGAGTCCCCTCCAATGCCTTTGCCTCATCCTTCGAGCTCAGAGAAGCTGCATGTGTCACGGTCAGGGCATATCTCTGCATGCACCTATGAGAAAATGTTTGGAGAAGTCCTTGGAAATCTTGGGAACCTGTTGAAATCTGAGCTCTGCATAACCTGACCTCCCATTACCTCCACTTGGGGGTGAGCTGTCTCAGTGATACAGTATACTTTTTAGGTAACAAGAGGGCAAAGGACCCTTTAGCCATTTGCAAGCCATTTCCAGACAGAAGCAACCCCAGGGCAGGAAGAAAACGCAGATGTTCCCCCTCCCGCTGCTGTTGAGTCTCCCTGGGGGAGTTTCTGCATTACCTTTAAGAGTTTAGAACTAGAACGAAGTGCCTCTATTTTGTCTCAGGATGCTATTCAAGTGATGTCCCAGAAACTGCCCAGGGTGAGGAAAGGGGTGTTTCTGCATATTCCCTTTCCTTTTCCTTTAAGATGCCTGCTTGTTCCTTCTCCTGAAATCACTTCTGTCTCGTTGGCTTCTACCTGGACCCCACACCCATGGAAACTTTTATTTTTGTGTTTCCTCCTGGCATCTGCAAGTATA